AGACAGAGTCTTACTTGGAAAGATATTTTCTATTAAATACACTCCCTTTTTCACCTCAGAATGAAAAGCGACATGACACTTTAGCCTGATTACTTTGCATTCTTCATTCTCATTTTCCAGCAACTTGCATTCCTTTCAAATACTCATAGGTTGGATATCTCAATGAAATAATCACAACAGGCCCATCTCCTTGAACAGTGTAAATGTTGTTAAAAAAAAACTGAATATTGATCTACCATATCAACCATATCATCAAGCAATCTCACTGCTTCATGTATACCCAAAAGAAAGGAAATCAGTTTATCAAAGAGATATCTGCACTTTTATGTTTGTTGTAGCACTGTTTATAATAACTAAGATTTGGAAGCAACCTAAGTGTCCATCAACAGATGAATAGATAAAGAATATGTGGTACATGCTTGTTCTCACTCATAAGAGGGTGTTGAACAATGAAAACACATGGACGCTTAGAGGGGAACATCACACACCAGGACCTGTTGGGAGTGGGGGGCCAGTGGAAGGATAGCAGGGGGTGGCAGAAAGGGGAGGGACAGCATTAGGAGAAATACCTAATGTAGATGATGGGGTGATGGATGCAGCAAACCACCACAGCATGTGTATACCCATGTAACAAATCTGCACGTTCTGCATATGTACCCCAGAAAAAGTATAATAATAGAAAAAGAAAAGAAAGAAAGAAAATGTGGTACAGATATACAGTGGAGTACTATTTAGCCATAGAAAATGAAAGCCAGTCATTTGCAATGAGATATGTGGAACTGAACATAATTAAGTGAAATAAGCCAGGCATAGAAAGACCAACATCACGTGTTCTCACTTATTTCTGGAATCTAAAAATCAAAACAATTGAACTCATAGACATACAGAGTTGGGAAGGGTACTGACAGGGTGGGGGGAGGTGGGAATGGTTAGCAGCTACCAAAAAAATAGAAAGAATGACTAAAACCTAATATTTGCTAGCACAACTAGGTGACTAATGCCAATAATAACTTAATCATATATTTGAAAAGAATATAAAAAGTGTAATTGGATTGTTTGTAACTCAAAGAATAAATGATTGAGGGGATGTGCATATTTCACATTGCATGCCCGTATCAAGACATCTCATGTAACCCACAAATACTTTGTATCACAAAAATTAAAAATAAAATATAAAAAAGGAACGCTTTCTTTCTGTACAATAAACATCACAGTTTCAAATCCAAGGCTAGAGAGCTCCCCTTATACAACATACACTGTATTTGCCTTGAAGAGCTTCTCTTTTGCTCTATGTACAGGTATTTGTAGACGTTAACATTCTGGAACATTGAATTCTAACACAACAAGAGGGACAGCCACACATGTGAGATACACTGACAAAGCAGGATTCACCAGTGTATTCTGTTGAAACAGTGAGCGAGCCAAATGTATCTTCCAAAGTCATTGATTGTAGCCACTAAAAGGTCTATAGGACATCATCGGAGTTTCTGTAAAACCTGGCTGAGACTTAGAATGTGGACTTGAATGTGATTGTGATCGTTATGTAATAATTGCTACAAAAATTCAGGTTGGTGTTGGCGGCATATGACTACAACAGTCAGATGGGGAGAGTCAGAGTGTTTCTTTGACAAGTTTTTCTAAAGGTGGCAGTAAATTTAATGGCTTTCAGTGTCTCCTTTTTGCCATAGACCCAGAAAGAGTGAAGGGCACTTGACAATCCAGATTATTTCCTCGGCATCCAAGGCCAGAATTTCACCTAGAATGGATTTTTGCTGTGGGGAGAACATGGCAAGCATGCAGAGATGTTTGGCATTTTGCAATACTTGCGTGAGAATTTTCCGAGCTCTTATGAAGTATTTGATGCATAAGGCCCATTTCTAAATACCGGAACCATCTTGCTGTGAAAGCACATGATGTTAAGGCCTTTCATGACACCATGCACAAAAACATGCGGCAATGTGATCACCAGTCTTTACCTCTTGAATGGCCTTGCACATGGCTGCTCCTGTACTGCTGAAGTCCAGTGCCTGTAGTTTATGTTTCCCCCTTGTGTCATCAGCCCAATACAAATTATTGTCAAAATTACACCCAGAGGTGCTAACAGGAAAATAATCTTCTGAGTAAATACATATTTTATCAGTCTCAACTTCCAAAAATTGGTCATTGAACAGTGTGAGTTTGTGTCTTTCTATTTTGGCTGTCACCTTTACTACACTATAGGGGTCTGAGGTGTGCAGAGTGAACACCTCAGAGTTCTGGTTGTCCTTGTGAGGTTTGCTGTCATAAACCCTTTCAAAGGACATATGCCCAATTGCAGAAATGATTATTGTCCCCTGACAATCAATATAGAATTCTGGATCATTCTTCCCCTTACTTTTCATAATAGCTTCTGCTAAGCTTGCTACATTTTGTGGGATTATATCACATGTATCTATCATCCGAAATATGATACAAGGCACTTCCATCAAAAAGGCTCTTGTCATGACAGACAGAACAAATCCTAGATTGAAATAATCCACAGTTCTTATTGTTCTGTAAGTGAGCGCTGTCACAGAATAATCAACATTTTGGTCTTGTAAGGCCAAAATAAGTTGAAAAATGCCTCATGGCCAAAATAAGTTGACATGCTTCAAGGCCCAAATAAGTTGAAAAATATCTCATGAAAATGCCTCAAGGCCAAAGTAAACTTAAAAAAATGCCTCATGAATAGGTGTTCCTGGGATCTCTTCATTTCATTTTTGAATTATCCACAAGAATAAAACATAATGAAAGTCCTTGATTTCCATTCTCATCTTATCATCCACTCTCACCTCAGAATGTGGACTTGTTTCTCATTCCTGAAACCCAATATACTTAAGAGTCATAAGACAAATATTTAGCTATTTTAGATGTGTTACTAAAACTATTCATAGAGGCACTTTGTCAGGGTTTCCAAGCACCTAAATTGTGACATTTGTTTCCACATGTTTCGTAGAAGCAACTTATCATTAGGTTGTGTTTGTTTACTATCCATGAACACATCTGTTCAAATGCTGATAAAATGGAGCCATATTTGTTTGTAAAGAGCCCACACACTTCAAAGTGGTTTTCTGCAGACAGATTTGATGACCTTCATGTATATATTCATTTCCCTCTCCAAATTTTTTAAAACTGTCAATTTGCCCTTCTTTAGTGGAAAAATAGCTTTTTCTATCTTTCTTCATCTTGTGGCCATGACAAATGTCATTTGCGAAAAACAGTCCAACAACACTGGATGTATATAATATTCATACATTACTCCCTGGATATCTTCATTGACCTTGCTTGTTGTTATGCCATCCTTTAGCTCATTGCAGAATAAAAAAAAAATGGCTTTTAACTGTTTGAAAATATCATAGTAAAATCCAACGTAGAAGAGGCATTCAGAAAGTTCATCACTGTTTGAAATCAACTTACATTTTCTAACAACTCTAGAAGGCATCTTCTCTAACTTAAGAATTTTGTAGGTGGCAACAATATTAAAATTCTTTCAAGACATCTTGTAGTGATTATGGATTCACATCTTTGTATCTTGATAGAATCATTTTTAATCTCTCTTATAAAGTCTAACATGATTTGGCAAACCAATGTCTAACAAGGGAACCAAGTCTACTTGGAACTATTACATTAAGTTTAAAATAAACCATTTCTCAAGTTATCTAGAAATACTAAAAATAAACACCTTTTGCCTCAAAAATCTTCCCTGGCACCACATCTGCATTTGTACCCTCTTTCATTGCCATCTTGCAAAATGGTATGTTACCTGATTTTCCTGGTAAAAATTTAAACATTTATATTTTAATCATGTTTAACAATTTACAGAAGTATTTTTCATTTTCTTTTTGTACCCAGTGGCAGAATTTTATGATTCTGAAGCACTTAGACTCTCATCATCTTTTTTTGCAGAGAAATAAAACCAAAAATATCATTTTTAAGATCAGCTACCTAGGATTTTGTAATTTGTGTATTAAAACAAGCATTTAATTTGTTCTCTTTTAAGCTATTTGGCTGAAATGACTTCTTAAAAACTTTAGATTTGCTCTTCTATGATGTGTTAGGACATGAACCCAGGTAAAGAAAGAGGGTTAAGGCCTCATTTCACATGGGTCTATTATTACTTTTCTGTGCATTAAGGAGGTCATAAAAATACCATCAAAACTATAAGCCAAAATGCATTGACTGAATTTTTCAATAACAATGAGACACAAAAAACTAGTTATATTTTTGTTAAAACAAATATTTTATAATTTTTGTAATCTTTTCAAGAGATAGGTCACAGGCCAGGCGCGGTGGCTCACGCCTGTAATCCCAGCACTTAGGGAGGCCGAGGCGGGTGGATCACGAGGTCAAGAGATCGAGACCATCCTGGTCAACACGGTGAAACCCCGTCTCTACTAAAACTACAAAAAATTAGCTGGGCATGGTGGCGCGTGCCTGTAATCCCAGCTACTCAGGAGGCTGAGGCAGGAGAATTGCCTGAACCCAGGAGGCGGAGTTTGCGGTGAGCCGAGATCACGCCATTGCACTCCAGCCTGGGTAACAAGAGCGAAACCCCGTCCAAAAAAAAAAAAAAAGAGAGAGATAGGTCATTCTATGTTGCCCCAGCTGCAGTGCTAGAATGCAGTGGCTCTTCACAGGCACCATCATCTCACACTACAACCTAGAACTCCTGGGCTCACGTGATCTTCCTGCCTCAGCATCTAGAGTAGCTGGGACTACAGTGTGTGCCATTGTACCCAGTTTTTGTAATTTTCCAATAGTTGAAAACTGGTCAAATCTTAGATAAATTTCTTAAAATAAATCAAGCATAGCTGAACTATTTTTTCCTTACCAATTCTATCATTGATACACCTTGTCATTATTGGATTCACTTTGAGATCCCCAGACTCCTACTATGAGTGAAGTCTCATGTTGATGTTACTATCTGGGTTACCCAGAGTGTTCTTGTCTTCTTGGAAGAAAGAATTTGCCCAAGAGACCAATTAGTAAAGCAGGTAAAAGTTTTACTGGGGAAGTAAAAGTACATTTCAAGACAGGAGTGGGTTGATCCTGCTGGAAACCTTGCTGGGACATTCCACATTTGATCTTCTATGGTCTGGTTTCCTTCCTTGTCCAGTTCTCAACAAGGCTTGGGGGATCCTCCCTTATTGTAGTTAAAGCACATGCACTGGACATAGTGATCAATACAAATCCACCCAACTGGGACACTGCTCATTACTGCCACCCAGGAAGGTCATACAGCCATCAAATTTTATTCATTGCACCTGCGTGGCTCTCAAGAATTCTGCTTTTGCCTTTTTTTCTCCCTTATCAGGATCTAGTTAACCATATTTTGATAGTTTGATCATAGAGTGAGTACTGAGCATCTTAAGAGGTGTTCTGGGCAGTTCCTTCCAACATGGGCACTTCCCCTCCTGCCTGCTAATGCCTGACAAACTGCCTACTCTTACATTTATTCCTTAAGGGGCTGGGACTCAGAAATCTTTTGGGAAATGGGGTGGAGGTCATTCTTCTGTAGCTACTTCCTGCTGAAAAGGGGCGTCGAGTGTCTTCTAGGTCCCTCCCCTTGCTTGCTGTCGTGGTGAGAAGGCTTCAGAGGTTGTTGCTGTCTCTCAGAAGGTTTCACACACAGTGTCCAGAGGAGACATACAGAAACTTGGTTGTCTTCAAGGGTAGGAAGGAGGTTGAAATCCTTGTCACAAGACCATCTGAAGTCTGACAGCTTCTAGATGGGATGAAATAAACTTAGTAGATTCAAGAAGCAAGGCCCAGAAAGGAGAAGAAGGAAGATAGATGTCAGGGGTCCCAGGAAAGGGAGGAGCCATAAGAATCAGAACCAGATGACACTCCAGGAGAGCCAACCCTCAGTAGTCATTTCCCAAAGGTGAGAAGCCTGGTTTATGAGATCTCTAATGTGCTCCTGAGCCTGTCCTGATGTCTTAGCCCAGATCAGCACTCTTCTCTAAGCATTGACAAGTTCCTCCCTGATCGGCAGCCAGCATGTCAAGACCTTTACTGTGTTTGAGAACTATAGCTGCGAGATAACTGACTTGCCACTGTAACTCTGTTATAGCTCAAGCAGTGGTTTCTATCTCTTGAGCCAATTCCTGAGATAGGCTGTGGTAGGTTCAGGAGTAAGTGCCAATGCCAGCTATTCCCATCGTGGCACCTGTAGTGATGCCAAGCCCAATGAGAAAGGGAATTAGTGGAATTGCTTAGTGGGTCCAGTGTGAGGTTATAAATAAGAGCAAGGGCAGAGAAGCATCGCCCGGGGCTATGGAGATGCCAGCAGTGAGGTAAGCCAGAGTGCATGTTCTGGTCCTGTTTGCAGGGAGACAGAGGTGGGCCTGTGTCCCACATAGAAAACACAGTTCTGTCATGGATAGACAAGAATGAATATGGAAGGAGGCAAGGTCAATTCTAAACTTTACCAGTACCCTTGTTGGCTACCCAAGACGTGATATTCTGTCACGAAAGTTACAGCTGCTAGGGGAGCCAGACATGAGTGACTAGTTTGAATAGGAGTATGGTTCTTATTTTCCCAGGAGAGCATGTGTCTATTAATGTCAAGGAGAAGAGCCTCCAAAGGGAGTTAAAGATTTGAAACTTTTTGCATGACCGCTACCAGCTTGGTCAGGTAGAGAACCTTACTTGGTATTCGGAGATTTTAGTTTCTAAAAAAAAAAAAGTATGAGCGGTATTAACAATGGTGATGTTTGTGTTACAGTGTGCAGTGTTGAGAGAACCCACACACAAGTTCCAGAATCTCTGGTAGTAGTGATGCCTAGGGGTACCTGGCTGATGAGGGTGATGGGGGAAAACAAGGGGCCTAAAAGCGTAACTGTTCTTAAGAAGAGCCTGAAAGTCCCTTCACTTTGTTAGGTACTGTATGCATCTCTGAGAAGGTTTGGTAAAGAGAGTGTCCAGTGATAGGTGAAGCTAAATTGGGCTTGAATAGTTGTCTATTCTGGTATCATGGCTGGGTAGGTTATTCCTACACTGGATGGAGAGAATTCATGCATAGCCAATAATGAGGCACAGGAAGATTTGGTGAGCTTTAGTAGTTGTTGAGCTGCTTGTAGAGTTTTTTGACATGGTTGTGGGTTGTTGGGGCCTATGAGGGTGATTTTAGCTAAAAGCATTAGTGAGTATAGAGCATTTGGCTGCATGCTCCCAAAGAGAACAGATTAGAGTCAAATCAAGAGGTCTGTTGATTATGGAAAAAGAAGCTGATAACTCAGTGAGTATTAGAGAGAACACCACCTAGATTATGGCTTTGAGGTTTAAATCCAGGTAGGTAAGAACAGACCTTTTCCCGGAGGGGGTGTTTGTTCATAATAGTAAACCTCAAGGAGTATTATGATTCATGGTATAACAGGCCAAAGCATTACTAATTTACTTATCTTTATTCTTTTGGCTTTGCTTGAGAGGAGTTTGAGACCCTGGAGCGGCTCAATGGTGCAGGTGTCTCATGGGACCTTTACAACTTCCTCTGCCAGAGATGAGTAATACAGCTTTATCTTGGAGTAGTGAAGCCACATGGTGATCCCCAGCATCATAACTGCTGTAGGAAGAGCAAAACAGTGTAAGAACCTCTCCAAATAAGACTCAGTAGACAGTTTGAAGTGCCATCCTTCCAAGTCTTGATGATGACTTGAGTACTTACTTGGTGGGTATAAAATTTGGTCAGAGTTTTCAGGGTGTGAAAATGTCTTTTGGCCTAGTTTTGAGCCCCCAGCTGAAACTGGGATAGGGAAGTAACATAATTAGTAAGTTGGCAAGTTTCAGTATCCAATAGGAAAGCAAAGAAAGGGTCTTCCACATCATAACTTGAAAGAACTGAGTTGTAAGTTAGAGATGGGTATGTTTCTCAGCCTTAGTAGAGCAATACGTAGTAGCTCTGGTCAAGGCTTTGAGGTTTCCTGGCATAATTTTTCCAAGGACTGCTTGAGAGTTTGGTTAATATCTATCAACCATTCCAGAGGGTTGTGGATGCCTGGAGGAATGTAGAAAGTAACAGATTCCCATGTCCTGAGAAACAAGTTGAGTAACCTGTGAGGTGAAGGATGTATTACCACTTTGCAATGACCTGGGATGCCAAACTGGGGTATGACCTTCTTGGGGAGGGCCTTTACTATCCCCACTGCTTTTTCCATTCACATGGAGTAAGTGTCTATCCAACCTGGGAAGGTGTCTAAAAGACCAGAAGATATTTATACCCTTGACAGGCACAAAGTGAGGTGAAGTCAAACTGCCATTCCTCCCTAGCATGAGTGTCCCTCCATTGGACTGGCTGGAAAAGAAAAGGGGGTTTAGCTCCTCATGGGATGTTTAATGTGCAAAGGGCACAGGCCCTGGAAAACTTGTTCAATAGTCTTCAAAAGATTTTTTTCTCCAAAAGAGCCATTTGCACACTATTGAAAGCTTTTTCTTGCCAAAGTGGCAGGAGTCACGCAAAGCATAGCTAACTTCCCACTGAACATTTTAAGGCAGATGTAGGACCTCTCCCAATTGATACCAGCCTCTGGAGCTTCGTGTTCTTGTGCCCATTCCTATTCCTCTGGTGAGTACAGGGGCTAATGGCTTTGGAACCTCAGTGGGAGGATAAATAAAAGAAGGCTGAGGATGCTCTTCTGGGAAATTTCCTAGGCCATTTATAGGAGAATTATCCACTGAGGGGCTCACAAGAGCCAAAGTGGCAGGGTTCAGTTTTTTATATTTTTGGCAGAGATTCTGGTCCTCTTTTACAGCCATAAAGGCCTAGACATAGGGCACATCTGACCATTTACCCTGTCACCTGCAAAGCAGGTCCAGCTGCAAGAGGGTATTAAAATTAAGGCTACCATTTTCTGGCCAGCCTTCCTATAGTCATAGAGTTTTGTATTGAGGCCATGCACAGTTACAAAAGAAAGTTAATATCTTTTTCTTTAATGTCTGGGGATCAAACTTGTCCTAACTTTTGAGAATGTATCCAAGGGGAGAGTCCTACAGTGTGGAGTGTTGAATGTCCATCTGAAAAACAGAGAGAAGTAAAGGCCAGGGGAGAGTGAACATCCTCACTCTCTGTCCATTCTCATCCATTGTGAAAGGGGGAGAGTATCCTCTCCATCCCTTTCCCACGTGGGCCAGGCATCTCTAGCCTGTGAGGAGCTTCAGACTTCATGCACCCTTACTGCATGCTCCCACCCAAGCCGTGACCTCTTTCCCTCATTTGGTCTGTTGACCCCTGCAGGTCTATAGGTCTCACATCTGATTATAGATGATTGTGCCCAATTATAATTTTGTACCCTTCTGTAATAATCCTCTGCATACAGTAAAAGCATGTCAAGGGCAGTGGGGAAGGCCAGAGACAAAAGGGAAGTCAACTGGCAAATCCCTAAGAATTCAGTGATAAGAACATGGAGAGAAGATTGGGTAACTAGCTACATCCAGGTGACCCCTAGACCAAGACCATAGCACCTGAAATTTACCTAAATTTCATCTGGAGGTGGAATTAGTGCAGAGGAGATGGTTACAGAGCATTCTAAAAGCCACTGTATTGGGGCCTATCTGGGAAGAGAGAGGACAAAGGAGGTGGCATTGGCTAGCAAGAGAGAGATGCCATGATGGCATGGGCAGCAGGACCAACTGTGAAGAAAGACAGGGTGGTGAGTCCCCAAAAGTCAGTTGTGAGAACGTGGAAGTAATCAGAAGACTTAGGGTCTCTGACAAGAAAAAAACATTCTGTGCCTGGAGGAGCTCTGTTGAGCATTGGGCAGAAGTGCTAGCTGAGCACACAAATCAGAGATGCCAGGGAGCTTGATTGGCATGCTCAGCATTCTCATAGACTATGCTGGATAGGAGCAGATATGTGAGAGGAGACAGCAGGGAGCACAGCCCTTACCTCATGACAGGATGCGAGTCACGGCACTAAGAGACGTTGCCAAGCCCGGAGTTCCAGAAAGTGTCCTCAGTTCTTGTCTCCTTGCAAGAAAGAATTCAGCCAAAAGACTAATTAGTAAATCCAGCAAAAAAAAATTATTGCAGAAGTGACAGCATGCTTTAAGACAAGAGTGAAAAAAAAAAAAAAAAGACAAGAGTGGGCTGACTTGGCTGGGAGCAGCCCCAATACATTCTGCATTTGATCTTTTCTCTCACTTTCTTTAGGTTCCTGCCTTTGTTCTTGCCCAGTTTGCACACAGGCTTGGGGGACCCTCCCTTACTTTTGGTTAATGCACATGTGCAGAACCCAATGATCACAGCAAATTCTACCCAATGGTGGCGTTGCTCATTACTGCCACCCAGGAAGGTGGTACAGCCATCACATTTGTATTCATTGTGTCCATGCAGCTCTTAAGAATTCCCCTTTTGCCTTTCCCTTTCTTTATCAGAATGCAGTTTACATATTCTGATGGTTCAACCATAGAATGAGTGATTACTGATCATCTTGAGTCATTCTGGGGCATTCCTTCCCACATAGCTACCTTTCCTCCTGCCGGCTCACATCTGGCTAATGGTCTACCCTAACTGTTGAATTGAAAGGCTCTTGTTCAAATGAAACTTGAAACACTGAAAGGGTCATGTCCCAGGGAGATGGGAACCCTGTGCAGTTTTACATGGAATTCTGGGTAGGAAGAACAGACTGGATTCTGTTTGCTCACATTTGCTATTTAACTCTTCTTTATATTATTCCCATTTTAGCCATAAATCATTCAAGTCATGGTAAGATAGACATAAGTGAACTCCACTTTTATGAATTCAAATATTGCTTTAAGTATTTAAAAACTGCTGTATAATTGCACAGCAACGGGCACATTTTACAACAAATGATATCAAAATGTTATAAAAGGATACACTCGTAAGAAAATCAAAAAACTTTAAACTGAAAAAGAGAAAAAATATTTTTGAGTGTTACAGGTTCACATAATTCATCAAAAGTATTTATCTTGGATTCCTTTACATAATAATCATCCACATGTGGTTAAGTGTTTGAATACCAATTGTTTACATATGATTAGAAGTGGGAAACTTGAGATGCTACAGAAAAATCTTTCAAAACACTATGAACCCAAACCAAACTAAAATCAATTATAAAGCAAGCCAAAGCATCTCAAAGTATACATTCAGTTGTTAGGCAATACCATTCCATTTCCAAAATCCAACTTAAATGCAATTTTTACAGAAAGGTCAAATGTGCTGCTTTAGTTACATTTATTGAATAAAGTTAACAAGTGAATATCTCTTGACAATGAGAGCCCCAAGGACTTAAAAAAAAAAAAAAAAAAGCTGTTAAGTTTGTTTCCTCTCCTTAAAAACACAAGGATCTTTAAAATGCATAAGTCAATTAGACAATTCAATATTTTGCCAAAAAATACAAGAATTATATCAGAAGTCTGAAAAGGAAAAAAAAAAAAACAATGCTACAGCTAACCTTTGGCAAGTCGTTATCCATTCTGTTATCTGAGGACAGTAAGCTTGAGGTAGAAATCCTTAAGGTTTCTCTTGGAACATGTATTCTGTTCAGACCTAAATTTTCATTAAGATTTCCATTGCATGCTAACTCCAGGGCTGGCCTTGCAGTATGAGAAGTAAATAAAGATTTGCTCTGCTCTTTTTCTTGAAGTCTGGTACTGACATCTGCTAGAATTTTTTCACGTCTGTGAAGATTGCAAAAGACAGATACTGAGTATTTTGTTTTTAAAAATTATGTCTAAATGACTTGCATTGTTTAAAAAGTAACCATGAGTCAATAAAAGATACCACAAACCATGTTTTAACTCTGGAAATGTATGAGGGCATGTGTACTGTTCACATTCTGACAGTTCAACCATAGAATGAGTGATTATTGAGCATCTTAATAGTCATTAAGGGGCATTCCTTCCACATAGCTACCTTTCCTCCTGCCTGCTCATATCTGACTAACTGCCTACCCTAACAGTTGGATTGAAAGGTTCTTGTTTAATTGAACCTTGAAACATTGAAAGGGTCATGTCCCAGGAATAATTTTAAAATTATTCTAAAGAAGTACATGTATTTCCAGAGGATTTCTAACAAACAAGTAATTCAAACAAAGTAGGGAGGAAAGAGCAAAAGCTATTAATGATGTATGGATTAACAGGTCATGTTTGTTGCCTTCTGAAATGGCTCTACTTAGAAGATTCTTAAGAATGCCATTAGAAATACTTGTGTTTAGGCCTGGCACAGTGGCTCACACCTGTAATTCCAGAACTTTGGGAGGCTGAGAAGGGAGAATCACTTGAGGTCAGGAGTTCAAAACCAGTCTGGCCAACATAATGAAACCCTGTCTTTACTAAAAATGCAAAAAAAAAAATCAGCCAGGCATGGTGGCAGATGCCTGTAATTCCAGCTACTCAGGAGGCTGAGGCAGGAGAATCACTTGAACCTGGGAGGCGGAGGCTGCAGTGAGCCAAGATTGTACCACTGCATTCCAGCCTGGGCGACAAGAGTGAAACTGTCTCAAAAAAAATTTTTTTTAAGTAAATAAATACTTGTGTTTAAAGGGTAACTATATGAAAAGATAAACATATTAATTTGCTTGCCTAGAATAACCATTTGACTATGTATATATATACTAAAACATCATGTGGTACTCCTTAAATATATAGGAGTACCAAAATATACCCAAAAATATAAATCCAAAAAAATTTTACTTCGGTAAAATAAAGCTAGAAATACTTGTATTTAGTAAGCCAGTTACAGAAAAAAAAAGATCTCTCAAAGACATTTTCAAGCATTTCTTTTCACCACCCTTGTACATTTCACTCATTACCTGAAAAAAATTAAGCATTTGGCACTGAGGAATCATTCAGAGCAACAATCCCCTGGGGAGGAGACAGCCAAGATCAAAGAGAACTCAATCATCTCCAAAGGCAATTTACTCCTAAAATTGCAACCAAAGCCTGAGAAGCAGGGCTTGCCCTTTTGGTCCATCTCAAAAAAAAGAAACACACAAAAAAAGAAAACACACACACACACACACACACACACACACACACACACACACAGGAGAGTAAGATGAATTGTCCTGGATTTACTTTTTTTTTTTTTTTTTGAGATGGAGTCTCACTCTGTCACCTAGGCTGGAATGCAGTGGTGCAATCTCTGCTCACTGCAATGTTCACTTCCCAGGTTCAAGTGATTCGCCTGCCTCAATCTCCTCAGTAGTTGGGATTACAGGAGCACACCACCATGCCTGGCTAATTTTTGTATTTTTAGTAGAGATGGGGATTCGCCATGTTAGTCAAGCTGGTCTTGAACTCCTGACCTCATGTGATCCACCTGTGGATTAACATTTCAAAGGTAAGTTCATTTACTAACATCATTTTTCAAAATTGTCTTATCTAGTTAGCTTTCACTTCCACCTAATCTCATGAACCTGTCTCACTAAAAATTATGCTTTTGAGGCAAAGAGCTTCATTTATTTTCTATGATTCTGTTTTGACTTACTTTCCTTGTTCATCTGATATAGATTCTCTCAGTTTTAATTGTTCTAGATACAGTTCCTTATATTTTTCCAATTCTGTTGTACTGTAGTCTGCTTGTGAAGTTTTTGCCTTATAGATTTCAAGTTTCAGAGCTTTAATTACAAGTTCCATCTGATTTTTCATGGAAGCACTGTTTTCCTCTCTTAACCTCTGTAACTTTTCTTGAGATATTTTCTGTGTCTAAAACAAATTGAAAGGGTACATTTAAAAAATAATTATAACCTGAATAATTATTGCGTAGTTGTTTTTTTGTTTGTTTGTTTGTTTTGGGTCAGTGATCTAGAGAGCATTTTTAAGTATGTGAAAAAAGAAATTGAAGGTTAATATATTTATTATCAGTATCAGCTAAATTAATAATTTAATCTGAATTGTAATAAAATGAAATGCTTACAGTGGCACTCATGAAATGTAACACTCCAAAGAATAATAAAATGAATTTAAATTCTGAAAAACATAACTTAAGAATAATTCAAGAGTAGATTCAGGGGAGGATAGCAGAATGGAAGCTTCTCCAAAGTGTAGCTACCACCCAGTGAGACAGAACCAGACCTATATCCACGTCTCCGAGCGAGGTACCAGTTTTGTTTTAAAGGGACTGGTTGAACAGTGGGGTTAACCCCAAAAAAAGGCAGTGAAGGCAGCCCCCAAGGCAAGGCAGGACACTGCCACACCTGGAAAGTGTATCAGGCATGGAGGATGGGGGGGGCATCACCTCCTCAGTTCTCTGAATCAGATACAGCAATTCACTCCAAGACTTCGGCAGCACACAGACCAGGAAAACACTGCCTTGCCGAGAACCACCTGGAGTCACAGACCCGGGCGGCAGCCCAGGCCAGCAGCCCTGGTCAGACTGGTGTCTTGTTAGCACAGACCAGGGTGGAGATTTGGACTAATACTGAGAAAGCTCACAAAAAGGAACTGCCTGTCCACAGAAGGGAGAGTTGAAAGCAGGGAGGGGGATATGACCAGACAGCCCCTCTCCACAAGATTCAGCCACTGGAGTCCGTCTCCTGGGAGAGTTTCACAGTTAACACATCCTCCACCCAGGAACAGGTGGCTCGGCAGAGCAAAAGAGCTTGCCATTGGGAAGGCAGGGCTAAACCCAGCAGTATGGAAACCAGGCAAAGAATAAACAGCAGCCTGGGCTGAGACCAAGGCAGCCCAGCAGTGCCTCCACAGGCAGACAATGGACAGACTGTCTCCAGTGGCACACTGACACCTGCATTTAAAAAAAAAAAAAAAAAAAAAAAAGGTTCATACAGGAGAAATAACCCCAACTTTAACAGAAAGGACATCCACTCAGAGAAGATGGGAAGAAACCAGCACAAAAGATGAAAACATCAAAGTCCAGAACGCCTCTCCTCCCCAGAGAGATCACAATGACTCACCAGCATGGCAACAAAGCAGGTCAGAAAACGATTTTGACGAGCTGACAGAAGCAGGCTTCAGAAGATGGATAATAAACTTCTCTGAGCTAAAATAACATATTTTAACCCAATGCAAAGAAACTAAGAACCTTGAAAAAAGATTAGATGAAATGCTAACGAGAATAACCAGCCTAGAGAAGAACATAAATGACTTGACAGAGCTGAAAATTATAGCACAAGAACTTCGTGAACTGTACACAAGTTTCAAGAGCCAAATCGATCAAGCAGAAGAAAGGATATCAGAGATCAAAGATCAACTCAATGAAATGAAAAGAGAAGGCAAGAAAAGAGAACAAAGAGTGAAAAGAAATGAACAAAGCCTCCAAGAAATATGGGATTATGTGAAAAGATCTAATCTACACTTGATCAGTGTACCTGAAGAAGACAGGGAAAACGAATCCAAGCTGGAAAACACTCTTCAAAATATTATCCAGGGGAACTTCCCCAACCTAATAAAGTATGCCAACATTCAAATACAGGAAATACAAAGAACACCACAGAGATACTTCTCAAAAAGAGCAACTCAAAAAGGCACATAATCGTCAGATTCACCAGGGTTGAAATGAAGGAAAAAAATGCTAAGAGCAGCCAGAGAGAAAGTTCGGATCACCCACAAAGGAAAGCCCATCAGACTCACAGCAGATCTCTCGGCAGAAACCATACAAGCCAGAGTAGAGTGTGGACCAATATTCAACATCCTTAAAGAGAACATTCAACCCAGAATCTCATATCCAGCCAAACTAAGCTTCATAAGTGAAGGAGAAATAAAATCCTTTATGGACAAGCAATTACTGAGAGATTTCATTGCCACTAGGCCTGCCCTACAAAAGCTCCTGAAGGAAGCACTAAACACATAAAAAAATATCCAGTACCAGCCACTGCAAAAATGAACCAAATGGTAAAGACCAATGACGCAATGAGAAAACTGTGTCGACCAATGGGCAAAACAAATAACGAGCCACAAAATGGCAGGATCAAATTCACACATAACAATATTAACTTTAAATGTAAATGGCCTAAATACCACAATCAATCAAAAGGCACAAACTGGTAAACTGGGTAAAAAGTCAAAACCCATCAGTGTGCTGTATTCAGAAGACCCATCTCACATGCAAAGACACACATAGACTCAAAATAAAGGGATGGAAGAAGATCTACCAAGCAAATGGAGAGAAAAAAAAAGCAGGGTTTGCAATTTTAGTCTTGGATAAAATCAACTTTAAACCAACAAAGATCAGAAGAGACAAAGGACACTACATAATGGTGAAAGGATCAATACAACATGAAGAGCTAACTATCCTAAATACACATGTACCCAATACAGGAGCACCCAGATACATAAAGCAAGTTCTAAATGACCTACGAAGAGACTTAGACTCCTGCACAATAATAGTGGGAGACTTTAACACTCCACTGTCAACATTAGACAGATCAACAAAACAGAAAATCAAAAAGGATATACAGGACTAGAACAAAGAACTAGAATAAGCTGACCTAACAGACATCTACAGAACTCTCCACCCCACTGCCACAGAATATACATTCTTCTCAGCACAACATTGCACTTACTCTAAAATTGACCACATAATTGGAAGTAAATCACTCCTCAGCAAATGCAAAAAAACAGAAATCATAACAAACAGTCTCTCAGACCACAGTGCAACCGAATTAGATCTCAGGATTAAGAAACTAACTCAAAACTGCACAACTTCATGAAAACTGAACAAGTGGCTCCTGAATATTGACTGGATAAACAATGAAATGAAGGCAGAAATAAAGATGTTCTTCTAAACCACGAGAACAAGGACAGAGGTACCCAGAATCTCTGGGACACATTTAAAGCAGTGTCTAGAGGGAAACTTATAGCAATAAATGCCCACATGGGAAACGAGGAAAGATCTAAAATTGACACCCTATCATCAAAATTGAAAGAGCTAGAGGAGCAAGATCAAAAAAACTCAAAAGCCAGCAGAAGACAAAAAATAACTAAGATCAGAGCAGAAATGAAGGAGACAGAGACACAAAAAAACTGTCAAAAAATCAATAAATTCAGAAGCTGGTTTTTTGAAAAGGTCAACAAAAACAGACAGACCACTAGCCAGATAAATAAAAAAGAAAAAAGAGAAGAATCAAATAGATGCATTAAAAACGATAAAGGGGATATCACCACAGATTCCACAGAAATACAAACTACGATCAGAGATTACTACAAACAACCCTATGCACACTTGTACCCTCTCAAGCCTAAACCAGGAAGAAGTCAAAACCCTGAATAGACCAATAACAAGGGCTGAGGTTGAGGCAGCAATTAATAGCCTACCAACCAAAAAAAGCCCAGGTCCAGATAGGTTCACAGCTGAATTCTACCACACATACAAAGAGGAGCTGGTACACTGCTTCGGAAACTATTCCAAACAATCCAAAAAGAGGGAATCCTCCCCAAATCATTTTATGAGACCAACATCATCCTGATACCAAAACCTGGCAGAGACTCAACAAGAAAGAAAACTTCAGGCCAATATCCATGATGAACATAGATGCAAAAATCTTCCATAAAATACTGGCAAGCCGATTGCAACAGCACATCAAAAAGCTTATCCATCACAATCAAGTAGGCTTCATCGGGGGATGCAAGGCTGGTTCAACATACGCAAGTCTATAGACGAAATTCACCACATAAACAGAACCAAAGACAAAAACCACATGATTATCTCAATAGATGCAGAGAAGGTCTTCAACAAAATTCAACAGCCTTTTATGCTAAAAACTCTGAATACTAGGTATCGACAGAATGTATTTCAAAATAATAAAAGCTATTTATGATAAACCCACAGCCAATATCATATTGAATGTGCAAAAACTAGAAGCATTCCCTTTGAAATCTGTGACTAGACAAGGATGTCCTCTCTCACCACTCCTATTCAATATAGTATTGGAAGTTCTAGCCAGAGCAATCAGACAAGAAAAAGAAATAAAGGGTATTCACTTTGGAAAGGAGAAAGTCAAATTGCTTCTATTTGCAGATGACATGATTGTATATGTAGAAGACTTGATCGTCTCAGCCCAAAATCTCCTGAAACTGATAAGCAACTTCAGCAAAGTCTCAGGACACAAAATCAATGTGCAGAAATCACAAACATTCCTATACACCAATAACAGATTTAAAGAAAGCCAAATCAAGAATGAATTGCCATTCACAGTTGCTACAAAGAAAATAAAATACCCAGGAATACAATGATCAGAGGATGTAAAGGACCTCTTCAAGGAGAACTACAAACCACTGCTCAATGAAATAAGAGAGGACACAAACGAATGGAGAAACATTCCATGCTCATGGTTAGAAAGAATCAATATCGTGAAAATTGCCATACTGCCCAAAGTAATTTATAGATTCAATGTTATCCCCATGAAGCTACCAATGACCTTCTTAACAGAACTGGAAAACACCACCTTAAACTTCATATGGAACCAAAAGAGAGCCCACATAGCCAAGTCAATTCTAAGCAAAAGGAACAAAGCTGGAGGCATCATGCTACCTGACTTCAAACTATACTATAAGGCTACAGTAATCAAAACAACATGGGACTGGTACCAAAACAGAGATACAGACGAATGGAACAGGACAGAGGCCTCGGAGGCAACGCCACACATCTACAACCATCTGATCTTTGACAAACATGACAAAAACAAGCAATGAGGAAAGGATTCCCTGTTTAATAAATGGTGTTGGGAAAACTGGCTAGCCATGTACAGAAAGCAGAAACTAGAGCCCTTCCTGACACCTCACACTAAAATTAACTCCAGATGCATTAAAGACTTAAACATAAGACCTAACACCATAAAAACCCTAGAAGAAAACCTAGGCAAAACCTTTTAGGACATAGGCATAGGCAAGGACTTCATGACTAAAACACCAAAAGCACTGGCAACAAAAGCCAAAATAGACAAATGGAACCTAATTAAACTCCAGAACTTCTGCACAGCAAAAGAAACAATCATTAAGAGTGAATTGGCAACCAACAGAATGGGAAAAAATTTTTGCAATCTACCCATCCAAAAAAAGGACTTATATCCAGAATCTACAAAGAACTCAAACAGATTTACAAGAAACAAACAAACAAACCCATTCAAAAGTGGGCAAAGGATAAGAATAGACACTTTTCAAAAGAAAACATATACGAGGTCAAGAAACATATGAAAAAATGCTCATCATCACTGGTCATTAGAGAAATGCAAATCAAAACCATATTGAGATACTATCTCATGCCAGTTAGAATGGAAATCATTAAAAAATCTGGAAACAACAGATGATGGAGAGGATGTGGAGAAATAGGAACATTTTTACATTGTTGGTGGAAGTGTAAATTAGTTCAACCATTGTGGAAGACAGTGTGGCAATTCCTGAAGAACCTAAAAATAGAAATTCCATTTGACCCAGCAATCCCATTACTGGGTATATATCCAAAGGATTATAAATTGTTCTATTATAAAGCCACATGCACACGTATGTTCATTGCAGCACTGTTTACAACAGCAAAGACTTGGAACCAACCCAAATGCCCATCGATGATAGACTGGACAGGGAAAATGTGGCACATATACACCATGGGATACTATCCAGCCATAAAAAACGATGAGTTCATATCCTTTCTAGGGACATGGATGCACCTGGAAACCATCATTCTCAGCAAACTGACACAAGAACAGAAAATCAAGCACCGCATGTTCTCACTCATAGGCAGGTGCTGAACAATGGGAACACATGGACACAGGGACGGGAGCATCACACACTGAGGTCTGTCGGCGGGGGACTAGGGGAGGGACAGTGGGGATATGGAGTTGGGGAGGGATAACATGGGGAGTAATGCCAGATATAGGTGATGGGGATGGAGGCAGCAAACCACACTGCCACGTATGTACCTATGCAACAATCTTGCATGTTCTTCACATGTACTCTAGAACCTAAAGTGCAATAAAATATATATATATATATATTTAAATCTGGAGACAACAGATGCTGGAGAGGACGTGGAGAAGTGGGATCACTTTTACACTGTTGGTGGAGTGTAAATTAATTCAACCATTGTGGAAGACAGTGTGGCGATTCCTCAAGGATCTAGAAATAGAAATTCCATTTGACTTAGCATCCCATTACTTGGTATATACCCAAACTATAAACCATTCCACTATAAAGACACATGCACATGCATGTTCATCCTGGCATTGTTTACAATAGCAAAGACCTGGAACCAATCCAAATGCCCATCAATGACAGACTGGACAAAGAAAATGTGGCACGTATACACCATGGAATACTATGCAACCATAAAAAAGGATGAGTTCATGTCTTTTGCAGGGACATGGATGAACCTGGAAACCATCATTCTTAGCAAACTAACACAAGAACAGAAAATCAAACACCACAAGTTCTCACTCATAGGTGGATGTTGAACAATGAGAACACATGGACACAAAGAGGGGAGCTTCACACACTGGGGTCCACTGGGGGAGGCTACAGGAGGGATAGTGGGAGGGAGGGTGGGGGAAGGTTGAGGTCGGGAGAAATGTCAGGTATAGGTGATGGGGGGATGGTGGCAACAAACCACCTTGCCATGAATGTACATATGCAACAATCTTGCATGATCTGCACATGTACCCCAGAATCTAAAGTACAATAAATAAAAAAATAAAAATAAAATAAAGAATAATTTGAGAGTATAGTATAATTTCTAAATCACATTTCTTTTTCTATTAGTCTTGTTTTTTATCAACTGGTCTTAGTAATCAAATAATTCGCTAATGAGAATCATTATTATGGAAGATCAATTTAGTTACAATAATAATGGCAAGTAAAATATTTAAAGAGAGAAACAGATACCACCTTCGTTCTAGGAATCTACCAAATCATTATAAGAGAAGTAGCAAAAACACATATAATATATATATCCAAAATATAATTTGCAGTGAAATGAATGAAGGCACATTACAGATAAATAAACTAACCTGTATAAATTGATTGATTTTTTTCTAATTGTTCTGCTATCTTCTGACTTGCTCTTTCTTCATCCTCCTGTTTACAGCGTTTCAATGGACTATGTTCTAACATATTCATTTCCATGTAACTTTCAAGGTTTACTAGTTCTCCTTCCAACTTCTCATCCTTCTTCAGTGTTTCATGTGTCTTTTGCATGAATTTAAAGAATTAATATTGTTAAAATAATACCTGAAGGAATTGACAGGTTATATATGATGTCTATTAAAATATGTATTAGTCCATTTTCACACTGCTATAAATATACTACCCAAGACTGAGTAAAATGTATGAAAAAAGAGGTTTAATTGACTCACAGTTCTGCATAGCTGGGGAGGCCTCAGGAAACTTACAATCGCAGCAGAAGGGGAAGCAGGCACATCTTACTTATATGGGTGGCAGGAGAGAGAGGAGAAAGTGAAGGGGAAGAGACCCTTATAAAACCACCAGATCATGTGAGAACTCACTCACTATCATGAGAACAGCATGGGGGAAACTGGCCCCATGATCCAATCAAGTCCCTCCCTTAACGTGTGGGGATTATAGGTCTCTCCTTCTACACATGGGGATTATAATTTGAGATGAGGTTTGGGTTGGGAAAGAGAGCCAAACCATTTCAAAATAAAAATTATGCTTTTAGCTGGGAGACAAGATGGTCAACCAGATGCAGCCAGGAAATAGCTCTTCCACAGACAGAAAACAAAATATTGAGCAAACCATCACACTTTGAACAGAACTTTGAGGAAAAAAAGCACTCAAAATAAATGGAGAGGCAATGCAGACACTGAGTTTGAAGAGGAAGGAAGCCAGGAAGCCAGATGGAGTCACCAGTCACCAGGACCAGCTCTTGGTCCAGAATTGGATCTAAGGAAGGAGAGAGTGAAGAAACTATAGATCACACTCCTCCCATGGACTTCTGAGATTCCAGCTACAAGAGATCCCATAACACACACAGACATTTGAATTGGCAGGGGGGACTGCCAAGAGCGTAGGGAGAGGCAGAGCTTCAACATGCATGGAGCCCAAAAGGCTTCATGCATGAGGCAGCTGCAGGAAAATATGACAATAGGTACCCATCCCCCAAGGCTCACCATCTTTCTGAGTCAATCTACCGCCTGCTGACAGCCAGACCAGGAGATAGCAGGCTGCCTTTCCCAAGGGCCTGAAGTGCATCTGATGTGCACACCTGCTTGTGTGCTGCTCCCTTCCCCAATTCCTGCCTTGTTGCTCTCTCAAGGGTGTACACATAGCACAGCCTCAACTGTCCCGCCTGAGTGTTTTTCTGGCAGCCTGAAAGCAGTTTGCCTGCTCCAGAACAGCCAGAGCTTGACCCTGAGGTACCAGAGAATATAAATACAAGACCCATCCCAACTTCCCAGGGTTTGAGTGTACAGTGAAGGGGTATTGAGCTGGTATCTGTGGCCTGAGCTCAAGTCCAGGTGGTGCTCCCCACTCTCAGAACACTGAGAAGAATGAGGCACAGGTTCATGTGCTGGCATGGGAACTGGATGTGCCTCCTTCTGCAAGACTGGTCTTGGAAAACCATAGCCTGTTGGCTGGCCACAGCCTCCATCCAAGAAAAACCCGTGGCCTGGAACACGTAAGCCCAAAGATTTGGGTGCAGGCTTGGGACAAAACTAGCTGGTCAGGCCTTATCTGAAAGTACATATCACAGAAAACCTGGTCAGGTGAGCATGAGCTGAATGGTCCTCAAAGCCAAATGCTGAGAAAAAATATCCAGGCTGTGGTCACCACACCAGCTGCACACCCATGGCACCACCCACCCTGCCCAGGGAACCTCCACCCTTGACCCACAGCATCCACAAACACCTGCAGACATACCCCACATCCCTTCCAAGCACAGGGAATCAGCAGTTCCCTGGACATTTATAGGAATAACCTTTGGCTCAGACTGCCCCTAAAGCAAGCTTGTCCTGGGCCCATGAGTTGCATGTGGCCCAGGAAGACTTTGAATGTGGCCAAACACATATTTGTAAACTTTCTTAAAACATTCTGAGATTTTTTTTTTTTTGCAATTTTTTTAGCTCATCAGCTATCATTAGTGTTAGTGTGTTCTATGTGTGGCCCAAGATAATTCTTCTTCTTCCTATGTGGTCCTGAGAAGCCACAAGATTGGACATCCCTGACCTTAAAGATGGGGGCATGCAACTGTCCAGGGACTTCTTGGGAGCTAAGAAAATGGGGGTAGAGCACCATTGATTGAAGGAAATTATCTGAAGGCTTGGGGAAGAAACTTTGTGAGAAAGGTATTTCTTGCCTCCTTGCCAACTGTTCCCCCTCCTCAGAGCACTGCTGCAAACACACTGGTGTACAAGAATTATGCCCCTGAGTAAGGAGCCTATCTACCAGCCCTTACTCCAAAGCACCATCTATGGGATTGAAGTCAGAATTACACCACCAAACAAAAATAAATTCCCTCAACACACTTAGCCTGTGAAAACCAATGCAGAAACTAGCCACAGTTAAGAAATCCATAGAGGTCAGGTCCGTGGAGGATGGCTCATGCCTGTAATCTCAGCATTTTGGGAGGCCAAGACAGGTGGATCACCTGAGGTCAGGAGTTTGAGACTGGCCTGGCCAACATGGTGAAACCCCATCTCTACTAACACACAAAATTAGCCAGGTATAGTGGCAGGTGCCTGTAATCCCAGCTACTTGGGAGGCTGAGGCAGGAGAATCACTTGAACCCAGGAGGTGGAGGTTATAGTGAGCCAAGATCAAACCATTGCACTCTAGCTTGGGCAACAAGAACAAAACTTTATCTCGAAGAAAAGAAATTCATAAACAGCCTTGGCCTTCTGAAAGAACCCAGAGACTAAACCAATGAACCGTATACAACATACACAACAGTCAAACACTCAAGGGAAGAATAAGAATATAAAAACAAAAATTCATATCCAAACGACAGCAATTTCAAAAAGATAAATAAACACCAGCCCTCTCAGATGAGAAAGCATCTGTGAAAGAAGTCCAACAATTCAAAAAGTCAGTGTTTCTAACCTTCATAGGATCACATTAGTTCCCCAGCAATGGATTCTAACCAGATGGAAATGCTGAAATGACAGTCATAGAATCCAGAATCTGGATGGCAAGGAAGCACAATGAGATCCAAGGGAAAGCTGAAACCTAACCAAGAAAGCCAGTAAAAATAATTCAAGGGTTGAAAGATAACATAGCCATTTTAAGAAAGAAGAAAGCTGAGCTTCTTGGATTGAACAACTCACTACAGGGATTTCAAAATACAATTGGAAGCCTCAACAGCAGACTAGATCAAGCAGAGGGAAAAATTATAGGGCTTGAAATCTGGACCTTTGAATCAACCCAGTCAGATGAAAATAATAAACTATGACTCCTTGGCATTGTGGAGAAATAGTAAGAAATTTGGAAAACATATTTTAGAATATAGTCCACAAAATCTTCCCCAAACTCATTAGAGAAGTTGACATGCAAGAAATTCAGAGATAAGATACTATACAAGATGGTCATTCCAAAGATACATAGTGAAAGGACCCAAAAGTCAACATGAAAGTCTTATGGCTACTAGAGAAAAGGGTCAGATCACGTACAAAAGGAACCCCAACAAGCTAACAGCAGACTTGTCAGCAAATACAAGCCAGATACACGTTGGCTTACTGTTAGCATCCTTAAAGAAATTCAAACCCCAAATTTTATATCCTGTCAAACTAAGCTTTATAAGTGAAGGAGAAAAAAATATTTTCCAGACAAACAAATGCTAAGGAAATTTAATACCATTAGACCAGCCCTCCAAGAGATCCTTAAGTGAGTTCTAAACATGGAAATGAAAGACCAAGAAACCACAGAAACATACATAACTACATAGCTGACAGACCTTACAAAGCTACAAAGCAACCAGATAAAAACATCCTGGCAGAATAAAAATCTGACATATAATTATTAGCCTTGGATAAAATAATCTAAATATCCCACTTAGAAGGCAAAGACTGGCAAATTGGATTAAAGAAAATCAAGAACCAACTATCTGCTGTCTTCAAAAGGCCCATCTCACATATAATTACACCAACAGGCTCAAAGCAAAGGCATAAACTAAGATCTAGCATGCAAATGGAAAACAAAAAAGGCAGGGGTCACTATTTTTACATCAGATTAAACAGACTTTAAACCAACAACAGTTTTTAAAAAGGACAAAGAAGAAGATGATAAAGAATGATACACAATAATAAAAGAATTCAACAAAAAGGCATAAATGTTTTTAAATATAGGCACCCAAACTTGTACCATCAAATTTCTAAAACAAGTACTTCTAGATCTATGATAAGACTTAGATGGCCTGGCACAGTGGCTCACGCCTGTAATCATAGCACTTTGGGAGGCCAAGGCAAACAGATCACGAGATCAGGAGTTCAAGACCTGCACGACCAACATAGTGAAACCCCGTCTCCACTAAAAATACAAAAATCAGCCTGGTGTGGTAGTTCACACCAGTAATCCCTGCTACTCAGGAGGCTGAGGCAGGAGAATCATTTGAACCCAGGAGGCAGAAGTTGCAGTGAGCCGAGATTGCACCACTACACTCCAGCCTGGGAGACAGAGCAAGACTCCATCTCAAAAAAAAATAAGACTTAGATAGCCACACAATAATACAGACTTCAACACCTCACTGGCAGCATTAGACAAATTGCTGACACAGAAAAGTAACAAAGACATTCTAGAATTAATTTTGACATTTCATCTGTTGAACTTAATTGACCCTTACAGAATCCTCCTCCCAACAACCACAGAACGTACTTTCTTCTCATCTGCATAGAAAACCCAAGCTGAGATCGACCACATGCTGAGCCATAAAGCAAGTCTCAAAACATTTATTAAAAAAAAAAAAAAAAAAAAAACTGGGACAGGCACTGTGGCTCACACCTGTAATCCCAGCCCTTTAGGAGGCCGAGGCAGGCAGATTACCTGAGGTCGGGAGTTCACGACCAGTCTGGCCAACATGGAGAAACCCCGTCTCAATAAATAAATAAATAAATAAATAAATAAATAACTGAAACCATACAAAGCCTAATCTTAAACCATAGTGGAATAAAAATCAAAATCCATAACAAGAATTTCTCTCAATGTCACATAATTATATGAAAATTAAACAACTTGCTCCTGAATTACTTTTGGGTAAACAACAAAATTAAGACGAATATTTA